AAACTTCTCAGCATTGCTCATGAATATTCATCTGTGAATATATAATCTGTAATTTAAAGCTGGGGTGTGTAACTTGTGTGGTGTTATCGTAATGCATGATGTATAACAGGAAGTAGTGTCTTGTGAACAGATGTGACCACGGTCCTGTTTTGAGACCGGTTTTCTGTGGTTTAGCCCAGAGCGGGGGTCCCAACCTTTTCAATCAGAGAGCTACTTCTATACAAAGAGGCAGAGAGCTACTCCATTTTTGAAGCCGTAAAACAAATCCATCTAATAATTACGACAAAACAGAGAATTCATGTTAAATACACCATAATACTGTAGAATACATGTAAGGGCTCTAAATGTATTCATTCATTTGTTAAATTCTAATTCCTTTGGCGAGCTACCTGAAAGGGGCCGGTGAGCTACAGGTTGGAGACCCCTGGCCCAGAGAGTCACTTTTGGAGGGTTTGGGCTCAGAGCTGATTGGCTGAGTGAGGGTGGTCCTCTCTTTTTCACTTTTCTGTTGGAAAAAGCTGCTCTAAAGATGTGACCGAGACCAAAACATACAAAAATATGAACTTTTTAGGGTTAAAAAGATAAGAACTTATGTTAGTTTTAAAGTTAGGTACCCCAGCTTTAAATGTCAGTACCTTGAAATGTATGTTTTTGTGGATATTACTTAGAATAGGACATATTAAAAAGTACTATATGAAAACTAAGAGTAAGAAACTAGTTAGATGGGGTTTTTTAAATACATTTTCTCAATTTTGTGTGCTTTGAAAGTTGAGTACCCCAGCTTTAAAGGGCCCATATCACGGTTTTTGACTTTTCTCTGCTTTAAACATGATTACAATGCTATTTGGCCTCATACACAAGCCCACAGTAGTTTATTCATTGATTCTGTCAATCTTTTGTAAGAGAACAATCTGTCTCCTTCCCCAGCGTGAGGCACAGAAACGCTCGGGTCCACTTCAGTGACGAAAACCACACTGATGACGCGCATGACCCCGTTTGCTTTGTATTTAAAATAGTTGTTAAATACTTTTGTCAAAACGGGGTGAACAATACACAATTAGTATGCTGTTTTTGTCTAAAATAATAAAAATAAAAATAAATTAAAAGCCGGCGGGAGGTGATTGACGGATCAAAACAGCGAATCAGAGCGCACAGGCTCCGGCTCCCGAGTCCAGCGTCTGTGGTCTGGTCTCGCGGACTCCACATAGAGCTGCTGTTTTTATGCTTTTGTCAGAAACTAAAAGTGTTAGGATCACGTCGACTTGAATGAAGTGTGTTATGGGTGTAAATATGTGACACACTATTTGGCCCTAAGAGGAAGAAAGCGGCTCGACTTTTTTCACCTGTTCATCTCATGGATCTATTATAAACCGGTTCATCTTGGACACTTCACTGAGACTGTTCCAGAACTACAGGGACAATGGAACTGGACTTACTCAAAGGCTGATCTGGAAACACGTTATTCCCACGGTAAAAGACGTAACTCGGACCCCCTCGATCTGTAAGTAGTGACGCTAACTCGCTGTATACTTCTGTAAACTAAATAACTAGGGTCTGATTGTGCATCGAGGACATAGGGCTCGATGTGACGGATTGTCATTGTTGGAAAAAGTTTATTCTTATGTATGAAATGACTAAGTACAGGTGATAAACGACAAAAGCGTGATGCTACGTCAACGTGCGGGCGGGGGGAGGCGGGTGAGGGCGGGTGAGGGCGGGGGGAGGCGGGTGAGGGCGGGGGGAGGCGGGTGAGGGCGGGGGGAGGCGGGCTCACAGGCAGAGGAGCAGACTCTGGATCAGCTCGTTTGAGTCGAGGTGACGTCACCTCTATACAAGAGATGGCTCTAATCTCACAAGCTTTGATTGTTGTGTGGTGTATCATACACATTAATATCACACATGTGCAGAGGACTGAGTGTGAAACATGAAGAAAAGCGTGATATAGGACCTTTAATCACCAGAATGATTGACAGCTGGGAGGACCAATAGTGTTGATGATCCACCCGGAAGTATAAAATCCTCCTGTATCACTTTAAACACACAATATTGTTGACCAAGATCAACTTTTACCACAACAAGAGACCTGTTACACTAACACATTTATGGAAGATCCAATCATTGTAAAAGTATAATTGGACAGTTTCCCAAGGTGCACCTGGAGACGCCCCGAGGCAGACGCGACCAGACCATAACAGAGTCGGCAAGTCAAAACAGTTGTTGCTGCGGAAGAATCCATTGCATCACGATACAGACACCTAATTTACATTTTTCTGACACACAATTGTGATATCAAACAAGAAGAGAATTGCGTCAGAATATCCACTAACTGAAGATTTTAAAAGTAAAAACAATCGATCAACTGGAAAAAATATTACATTACTCTCACTACGTGCTCAATATAATGTGTCTTGTTCTTGTTTGGGGTCTTATTATCTTTGCTAAGGACGTAAACAGTGCACTGTTGGTATTTTGCGACCACTGAAATTGCGAATGCGATTTATTTTGCGGCTCCAGAAGAAACCTTTTGCTGAAATCCCATTTGGCAAAGTTTAAAATCCTATTCTCTTTTCGATTGCATGGGTCTGGATGCTGTTACTAATAGAAAAGGCTTATCGCATAACACACACACACACACACAGATAGACACACATACATACAGACACACACAGATAGACACACACACACACACATACAGATAGACACAGACACACACACATACAGACACACATGAACACACATGGACAGACACACACACAGATAGACACAGACACACACGCATACATACAGACACACACAGAGAGACACACACACACATACATACAGACACACACACACACATGGACACACAAAGACACACACATATCGCTAACATGCACTTCCCAAGGTCACGCAGAGATTTCGGGGAAGAGCCGATATCCAGGAGCCAGCGTGTACAAGTGGGCGGGACTAAGGACTGATGCATCTGTCCGTCAAGCGTCAATCAATTATGCAGTTAATGTAAGAACTAAAGTAATTATGACACTTGAGGGTAATGACGAAAACAAAAGCGATTACAGGAGCCATTATCTGTGAAGGAATCAATTAGGACGAGCCATCAGTCTTCCTTCGTTAACGTTTTTACCGTTTGTGTTTCCTGCTTCTCTTTCTGCAAAACGCTACTAGTTTTGGTCACATTAATCCCTTTTTATGGATCGATAATTTGTCGTTTAGTAAAATATATAATGTACTCAATCTCCAATTTATTAGCCCAGGTTTATGTCAATTGAAAAGGCTAAACTATCATCGCAACCGGGGACAAAGTCAGTTGTTCCTTGTCGATGCAGGAGGGTCTTGTTGGACAGTTAGTGTCCAACAGAAAGGATTGGTGATGATCAGGACACTTTAGCATTCTACAACATGTATGGACATTTTCTTCTGTGTGTGCTTTATATTCTTCATGTGTTTTAACTATTGATTCTCTGACCTGTGTTGGTGATTTCAATGGTTTTGTTAAGTCTCTGAGATGACTTCTGTTGTGACCTAGGGCTATACAAGAATAAATTGTATTGTATTGTATTGTATTGTTTAGATCGGGATTAAAACCAACAAAGAGTTTGAATCGCTCAGAATCGCAACAACAGTTGGACTAATCCAGGTCTAATCCAGGTCTAAACCGGGTCTAATCTAGGGAGGCACAGATACTGAAGCAGATAGTTTTAAATAACTAACCCAGACCCACATGAGCTAAACTACGTAGCTAAAACTTAAAGGGGAACTACATCTGTATCAAGACTACGTCAGACTGGTGTGAACATGGTTTTAAAGTCTAATTAAAGCAGAGGATGGACAAAGACGGCATCAAAGACAGACTTCAGTCACATGTCGATCGATCTGAGTCAGTCCGCCTTAACAAGTCCTCAGTCAGTACCAGGAGCAGAGGGGACACCATGGACGGCACCAGGTCCAGGCACAACAAGACTCAATGGTAGATACTGGGGGTAGATTTTGGCCTTCTCTAGATTTCCACCAGTATTGCACCAGTATTGCACCAGTGTTGCACCAGTATTGCACCAGTATTCCTAGTTTTGTAGATGCTAGTTTTGTATTTGGAAATACTGTAAGCTCTGTGGATCCGCTACATTGTATATAATTTTGTTACATTTGTATAAGTAAGAAATGTAATGTTGTTATTTGTTAATAGGGTTAGGCAAAATAAGTGATAAACTTCAGCCTAACCCTTTCGGTCAGTATATAATTTATCATTTGTGAATGTCAAAATGTTTTCTTATTTTCTGCTGATGGCCGAAGAATAAACAAATATATTCCACCAGTATTGCACCAGTATTGCACCAGTATTGCACCAGTATTGCACCAGTATTGCACCAGTATGGCACCAGTATTGCACCAGTATTGCACCAGTATTGCACCAGTATTGCACCAGTATTGCACCAGTATTGCACCAGTATGGCACCAGTATGGCACCAGTATGGCACCAGTATTGCACCAGTATTGCACCAGTATGGCACCAGTATGGCACCAGTATTGCACCAGTATTGCACCAGTATTGCACCAGTATGGCACCAGTATGGCACCAGTATTGCACCAGTATTATCATTATTGCTTTTAAGTTACAGGAAGTCACAAACTAGGACTTTGCTTTGGGATATTGTGCAGAAAATGAATAAAGTAAAAAAATATTAGATCTATAGACACAACTGATGAAGATGATGATGATGAAACAATAATAATAATAATAATAATAATAATAATAATAATACATGTGAACTGAGTGAATCTCTGACTGCCATCTCCCGACCCAGAAATGGATTAAGGGGAAGAAAAATGGATGAACTGAGGTTTCAGTAAAACCTCCACAATCCAACGCCGTAAGTGTCTAGCGCCACCTGGAGGCTCTCGAACACACTTCTCATCGGTGACACTCAGGTGGCGTTTAAAGAAATGACCTCATTACGTCTGAATCTGCTTCTTTCTCGTCCGTGGCCTGAATATGAACGAGGCCCTTACAGCCCATTACTCGGTTCATCGTCCGGTTTGTTCTGCTGCAGAAAGTAAACACAGCCGTCAATAACCACGCTCCAACCGTTCACGCCGCGCCGACCCACGCTCAACGTCTCAAACGTCTCAGATTAGGAAAAATATGGAACAAATTCATCGTTTTCTCAGCTTCACACAGATATGTTTGTACTTCTGTGTGACTGTAAATGTGGATATGTCGAGGATTAGATTAGATTAGATTAAATTAGATTAGATTAGATTATTAGATCAATTGGTTTTGACTAAAGGCTAAAGCGACAGTCAATGCACTTTTTTATATAGCACATTTCATAAACAAAGCGTTGCACAATAAAAGACTAATGAAAAGAAATCATTATTAAACCAGTAAAATCATTAAAAATCAAATAAAAACGGTATACACGCATATATATATATTTTCTGTCTGAAAAAGCCCAAAAATATATATATATATATATATATATTACACATATATACACACACACGCATATACAAATATATATATATATACACATACAGTACACACACGCATATACACGCACACACATATATATACACATACAGTACACACACGCATATACACGCACACACATATATATATATATATACACATACAGTACACACACACATATATACACAAAACGCATATACATATATATATATATATATATTATATATATATAAATACACACACACATATATAAACAGACACACATATATGTACTTAAATAAGCAGTTAAACATTGAGGATGAAGGGTAAAATCAGAAACGTGACTCTTCTGTATCGGCACAAATGAGGTTGTGTTTTTAAACCGTATTTAGACCGATGCAAACTTAGCTTTAGCATTTCCAACACTGACCCTAAAGCTAAGGCCCCCACTTTTCTTTTTCCTTTGATGTCTTGTCTTGACTCAGAATTTTGTAAACTTGTAAGAAGTTTTCATTTCTCAGTCGGTGTGATCCTCTTTCACTTTTCTGTCTGAAAAAGCCCAAAAATCATGTGAAAACTAGCAATGGATTTTTCTTAGCTTTGAAAGTTAGGGACCCCAGCTTTACGTCCCCAAAGCGCCGCTGCAGACGGACGCGTGTTTTCCGTCTTGTTTGGTAAAAGCTGGTGGCGAGTCCATGATCTAATTCACTTGTGTTCTAAATGATTAAAAGCCGGCGCCGCTCGTGACCGGGGTGTCGTGTTACAGATTGCATTTCCTCTGAGTCTGTGTGTCCTTGTTGACTTCCTCATCTGCTCTTCTCTGTATTCTGTGGAAACGTTTTATCGATTCAAACTCAAAACATGGCTCTAGGCTTTCTCGCTTTTCTTTCAAGTAAATCTTTCAAAACGTCAATAACATCTGTCACATAATGATGATTTAATGATGACAGATTAGGGCCCTTTAATGATGACAGATTAGGGCCCTTTAATGATGACAGATTAGTGCCCTTTAATAATGACAGATTAGTGCCCTTTAATAATGACAGATTAGTGCCCTTTAATGATGACAGATTAGGGCCCTTTAACGATGACAGATTAGTGCCCTTTAATGATAGACTAGCGCCCTTTAATGATGACAAATTAGAGCCCTTTAACAATGACTGATTAGGGCCCTTTAATGATGACAGATTAGGGCCCTTTAATGATGACAGATTATGGCCCTTTAATGTTGACTGATTAGGGCCCTTTAATGATGACTGATTAGGTCCCTTTAACGATGACAGATTAGTAACGTTTAATGATGAGATTAGTGCCCTTTAATAACAGATTAGTGCCCTTTAATGATGACAAATTAGTGCCCTTTAATGATAGACTAGGGCCCTTTAATGATGACAGATTAGAGCCCTTTAACAATGAGTGATTAGTGCCCTTTAACAATGACTGATTAGGGCCCTTTAACGATGACTGATTAGGGCCCTTTAACGATGACAGATTAGGGCCCTTTAATGATGACAGATTAGGGCCCTTTAATGATGACAGTTTAGGGCCCTTTAATGATGACAGATTAGGGCCCTTTAATGGTGACAGATTAGTGCCCTTTAATAATGGTGACAGATTAGTGCCCTTTAATAATGATGACAGATTAGGGCCCTTTAATGATGACAGATTAGGGCCCTTTAATGGTGACAGATTAGTGCCCTTTAATAATGATGACAGATTAGGGCCCTTTAATGATGACAGATTTGGGCCCTTTAATGATGACAGATTAGGACCCTTTAATGGTGACAGATTAGTGCCCTTTAATAATTATGACAGATTAGGGCCCTTTAATGATGACAGATTAGGGCCCTTTAACAATGACTGATTAGGGCCCTTTAACGATGACTGATTAGGGCCCTTTAACGATGACTGATTAGGGCCCTTTAACGATGACTGATTAGGGCCCTTTAATGATGACAGTTTGGGGCCCTTTAATGATGACAGATTAGGGTCCTTTAATGGTGACAGATTAGTGCCCTTTAATGATGACAGATTAGTGCCCTTTAACGATGACTGATTAGTGCCCTTTAACAATGACTGATTAGGGCCCTTTAACGATGACTGATTAGGGCCCTTTAATGATGACAGTTTGGGGCCCTTTAATGATGACAGATTAGGGTCCTTTAATGGTGACAGATTAGTGCCCTTTAATGATGACAGATTAGTGCCCTTTAATGATGACAGATTAGGGCCCTTTAATGATGACAGATTAGGGCCCTTTAATGGTGACAGATTAGGGCCCTTTAATGATGACAGATTAGGGCCCTTTAATGATGACAGATTAGTGCCCTTTAATGATGACAGGTTAGGGCCCTTTAATGATGACAGATTAAGGCCCTTTAATGATGACAGATTTGGGCCCTTTAATGAGGACAGATTAAGGCCCTTTAATGATGACAGATTAGGGCCCTTTAATGATGACAGATTAGGGCCCTTTAATGATGACAGATTAGGGCCCTTTAACGATGACAGATTAGGGCCCTTTAACGATGACTGATTAGGGCCCTTTAACGATGACTGATTAGGGCCCTTTAACGATGACTGATTAGGGCCCTTTAATGATGACAGTTTGGGGCCCTTTAATGATGACAGATTAGGGTCCTTTAATGGTGACAGATTAGTGCTCTTTAATAATGATGACAGATTAGTGCCCTTTAATGATGACAGATTAGTGCCCTTTAATGATGACAGATTAGGGCCCTTTAATGATGACAGATTAGGGCCCTTTAATGATGACAGATTAGGGCCCTTTAATGACAGATTTGGGCCCTTTAATGATGACAGATTAAGGCCCTTTAATGATGACAGATTAGGGCCCTTTAATGATGACAGATTAGGGCCCTTTAATGATGACCTTGACATGAAAATCTTACGTATTGCTGCTTTAAGTACTAATTATTGCAGACTTATTCAATGTAGGCAGTTTGTTCCCGATCATTTCTATTTATAGCTAACATCGGCTCCTTAAATACATTATAATCTAAAAAGTAAACTCAGGTATGGTTTTCCAGATACTGCACCGGAGATTATTACGTCAAGATCAAGGACAGAACGCTCCATTTAAGGAGTTTAAAGCCGAGGCGTTGTAATCCCAATCCCACGCCCACGCCTTTGCCCAGTGCGAACCCAAACCCAGCAGATTATTCTTGTGCCTGGTAGATTCACGGTTAAACCATCGTTATCGCAGAGTTTTCCGACCATTGCACGTGATTGACTGGTTCCAAATGGGTCCGGTTTAGGCGAGGTTTGCAGTTCTGCTCCGTGTCTATCCGACCTGTAGCTTGACCCTCGCAAAAGGTTGACTGTGATTCTCCCCAATCGCGTTAAGAGCTTTGGTGGTAGATTAGCGGCAGAGGAGTGGTGGAGGATGGGCGGCTCTGGGAGTGGGGTTTGGTGTCTTTTGAATGCCAATGAGTTCAACTGGAGACTTAAAGGAGCTATACCCGTTTCTGCAAGGTTTGAATGTTTTGCCCCGCCCCCTAACTCGCTCAGAGGCTTCTCATTTCCCTACGCTTTCATCCCACGGAGCCATCTTGTTGTTTTTTGCTAACATTAGCATTAGCGCAACTCAAGCTGTGCAACAATCACTGATGAAATGGTACAAAAGCAACGCACTGCTAACACAATATATAACTGAAAGATTACCGCTAGTTTCACGTCAGAATGTAGTTCGAGCGCAGATAGTCCGAGCGCAGTAGATAGTCCGAGCGCAGTAGATAGTCCGAGCGCAGATAGTCCGAGCGCAGATAGTCCGAGCGCAGATAGTCCGAGCGCAGATAGTCCGAGAATAGATAGTCCGAGAATAGATAGTCCGAGCGCAGATAGTCCCGAGCGCAGATAGTCCGAGCGCAGATAGTCCGAGAATAGATAGTCCGAGAATAGATAGTCCGAGCGCAGATAGTCCGAGCGCAGATAGTCCGAGCGCAGTAGATAGTCCGAGCGCAGTAGATAGTCCGAGCGCAGATAGTCCGAGCGCAGATAGTCCGAGCGCAGATAGTCCGAGCGCAGATAGTCCGAGAATAGATAGTCCGAGCGCAGATAGTCCGAGCGCAGATAGTCCGAGAATAGATAGTCCGAGCGCAGATAGTCCGAGCGCAGATAGTCCGAGAATAGATAGTCCGAGCGCAGATAGTCCGAGCGCAGATAGTCCGAGAATAGATAGTCCGAGAATAGATAGTCCGAGCGCAGATAGTCCAAGCGCAGATAGTCCGAGCGCAGATAGTCCGAGCGCAGATAGTCCGAGAATAGATAGTCCGAGAATAGATAGTCTGAGAATAGATAGTCCGAGAATAGATAGTCCGAGCGCAGTAGATAGTCCGAGCGTAGTAGATAGTCCGAGCGCAGTAGATAGTCCGAGCGCAGTAGATAGTCCGAGCGTAGTAGATAGTCCGAGCGTAGTAGATAGTCCGAGCGTAGTAGATAGTCCGAGCGCAGTAGATAGTCCGAGCGCAGTAGATAGTCCGAGCGCAGTAGACGGTCCGAGCGCAGTAGACGGTCCGAGCGCAGTAGACGGTCCGAGCGCAGACGGGTCCGAGCGCAGACGGGTCCGAGCGCAGACGGGTCCGAGCGCAGACGGGTCCGAGCGCAGACGGGTCCGAGCGCAGACGGGTCCGAGCGCAGACGGGTCCGAGCGCAGACGGGTCCGAGCGCAGACGGGTCCGAGCGCAGACGGGTCCGAGCGCAGACGGGTCCGAGCGCAGACGGTCCGAGCGCAGATAGTTGTGGGACGAACAAAGGACCTTCTTCTTCTAAAATATAATTAAAAACCAGTTGCGTCCAGTTTATGTTTTTAATGGTTTTGTAATTCGTCCCACGCTTTCGTCTTCATGTGACCGGAGAAGCGGGAGGAGTGCGATTGTTCTTTGTTCAAACGAGGGACCATCTCCGTGACCTCTGCCCTCACATAATGAGAGCCACCATCTCCGTGACCTTTGCCCTCACATAATGAGAGCCACCACGAGAGCGATACAGACCGTCCTTTTCAAACTCAGGGAAAAACCAAAAGGAAGACCTCAAAAAAGCCTGGAATTGCCGATAAATGTCTGAGATGTTTTGAAAATCCAGCCCCGCGTGTGTTTCAATGCAGCAGCCATTTGCAAAAAAACATTCTCACAATATTATCTCATATAATTATTATTTTCAGATTAGAGTTTAAATGTCTAAGTCTAATCACTCAAAACAGCGGTAGATTCTGTAAATGTGGGTTTTTATGTGATCATTGAGGATGTATAGATTTCAACATTTGTAAAGTCCAGTCTACAGAAAGACCCACATTTGCACATTCTGTCTCCAGGCTGAAGCTCGTGGTTTTGGACTAGACTAGACTTTCGCTTCCTGAAATCGGTCCAAATAAGTCTGTCATGGTCTAGGAAAGGCTGATGGTATAAAAGGGCTTCAAATAAACAGAACTTATATTTTAGTACCAGCTGGGATTACAATCTCACCAGTTTTCTGTCTGCAGTGTATGTTACATTGACTGTTTTACTTTAACTTCATAATAATAATAATAAAAATATTATTATTATTATTATTATTATTTCTATTATTATTATTATTATTATTATTAATATTATTATTATAATAATAATAATAATAATAAAGAAATAATAATAAATAATAATAATAATAAAAGAAATAATAATAATAATAATAATAATAAAGAAATAATAATATTAATAATAATAATAAAGAAATAATAATATTAATAATAATAATAAAGAAATAATAATATTAATAATAATAATAATAATAATAATACAACCTAAATTTAATCTAAATAATAATAATACAACCTAAATTTAATCTCACATTACATACAAATTGACATCCATCCATGCATCCATTTTCTTCCGCTTCATCCGTTGCCGGGTCGCGTTTGCAGCAGTCTAAACAGAAACGCCCAGACTTCCCTCTCCTCACACACCTTTCCTCCAGCTGGCTCCTGTCGATGTGGAGAAGCAGCGGCTCTACTCCGAGCTCCTGCCATGTGCTTGAGCTCAGTCACACTAATGAAGAGTTACAGAACCGTGGGAATGAGCGGCACACAGCACAAGATGAATATCAAAATGACTCCGTTCTAAAATAAGGACGTAAATCTAATTGATTCAGATTCAAGAATTTGCAGTAAAACCACATTGGAAAAATTGTGCAAGACATCCAACTTTAGCATAATAAAGAAGCAAGAATTAAGCACAAAATCTCTGACTTTAGCATAATGAAGATGTCTGTGCTTTTGATGCTGTTGTAGTTGTATCCATGGCAACGCATTGGACATGTTGTGAAATCATGCAAACACAGACTGTCGAGTTAGTTCAAGATAAGACCAAAAGGAGACGAGACATGGTCCAATCTTGAACTCTTTAATTTAAAAACGAATCACAGAAACCACCGGAAGATTTACTGCTCGAGTCCCCGAAATCAAAACAGATGAATTATTAATAACTCAGTGTTCATTTGAAAGTCAAATTTTGGTAGTTCAGAGTTTGAGACACCGAATCCTCCCGTCTGCTGCTTTTCCTTCCTCTTCACGGATACATTTCATTCACCTCCAACCTCTGTCGGCCCGAAACCCGAGCTAAAACATGGGCAGATATAGTTATAGAGGGGCAGGAGACGGACACAAAGCCGGTAAAATAAAAATTGTGGCTAAGAGTGGGAGACTGTTAAAACTGAGTTGGTGCGACCTTTTTTTAGATATTGCCTAAAACTTGAAAGTTAAATTGGAAGCCATCCACGTCTAAACTTGAGTATTTTAGAAAATTACAAACACTTCTTGAATGGTCGAAAATGTAGTCGTTTACCAAAAATATATTCTTGAATCATTTCCTTAAAATTTACTAAATTAACTAAATAATTTTGTTTTGAATTCATCTCTGTGGAAATATTTTGCTTGTTAGTTTGAATTATCCATCGAAAGCTATTGGTTCTTATCTCAAATTATAATGTAGAATTCATTCCAAATCTAGATTGATTTGGTGGCGGCCATCTTGGGAGTGTAAAATATGCAAAATTATAATAGAAAAGTTCAACAGTATCAGAATGTGAGGATACAGTGGTTTTAAATGAACTTCTACTTCATTACCAATTAGAAAAAATAAAAAGTATTGTATTCTTTTGAAGTTGTACATTTTGACGGCCATATTGCGATTGTAAGAATGCTAAATTGTGATAGTAAAAGTAATGACACACACTATCCATAGGAATTACATGCACTAAGAACACGCTAATGCCAGAACTCTCTCTGGTCAACCACCTGTGCCCAGGACCAGAGCTGAACCTAGCATAACAGCATTAGCCTGGTGAGCTATTTGTGGCTTCCAGTCTTAGCTCCCAATGCTCTGTGTATAAACCACTCCCACTCACTGCTGCCTTGGCCTGTTGCTAATCGCCGAAGGAACTGGCGCACGATGAGCTAAATCTGACTAGCGTTCGTCTCGCAGTAGTGAACTTGGCTCGCTATTTTGGTGACGAGTGGGAAGGTGCTGAATTAATTATTGAGGCGCTATAAAAATATGGTTGATGGTTGGAGAACGATCGAGTGGAAGCATTTGTTTTACTTTCACTTTTGTTTTGACTGTGGGTTGCACAGAATTGCAAAATTTGTATTATTTCTCTAATTTTGCTTCCTCTAGGTTTTGTTTCAGACCATTTTCAACACATATTTAAAAAAAAAAAAAAAAAACTTGTCAGTGGGAAAAATTGTCAAATATTTAGTTTCAACTCATCAGTTATTTTTGCTAGTTTTTTACCCATAGATCATAGAAAAGAGGTTTATCGCAGAAGAAGCCGATAGGGGCTAACTCAAAACGGCACCGGCGGGAATCTGGAGCCAAATTCTGGGATAGCAACGACTTAGCAACCAACGAGCCAATCAGGAATGAGGTTGCTGTGTTCCAGTGTGAAATGTGCGTTCGCCAAAATCAGATATGGATCAAGAAGGCGCCTGATTGGTCAGTTATCATAACAATTTAAACACCAGGATCATGTAGCGCTATAAAAGACATATTTTAAAGGCCAAAATATTGAGTGACACATGAGCCAATTATTCATTTATGTATTTTAAAACATGCTCGAGATACACAACATTTATATAAGTATATACACATACAACATCTGCAATACTAACAAAACACATGACAGCAATATGACACACACACACACCAATGCCAAGAGACACACACACCAATGGCAAGAGACACACACACACCAATGCCAAGAGACACACACACACCAATGGCAAGAGACACACACACATACTAATGGCAAGAGACACACACACACCAATGCCAAGAGACACACACACTCACCAATGCCAAGAGACACACACACCAATGGCAACACACACACACCAATGGCAAGAGACACACACACACACTAATAGCAACACACACACACACACACACACACTAATAGCAAGACACACACACACACGCCAATGGCAAGAGACACACACACCCACTCCAATGCCAAGAGACACACACACCAATGCCAAGAGACACACACACACTAATAGCAAGAGACACACGCACACCAATGGCAAGAGACACACACACTGATGACAAGACACACACACCAATGGCAAGACACACGCACGCACGCGCACACACAAACACAGACACGCACACAGCTAGTTTAATGTAAGGGATTAGGAGCTAAATGTGGCTAGGCTAGGTTAGCATTGTCCACAGTCAGTGAGGTGTCGATGTTACTGTGTACACAAAGGCCTTGTAAGGTTGTTTTGCAGTGCAGTAGTTTTCCTCTGAGGGTGTTTCCGATCCCTCCACGCCTTCCTCCGTGACGCCTCTCTTCTCTACACTTTCTAAAACCTGCTCTTGTTGATTAGATTGTCCCGGGACAGGCCTGACCCCTCTCGGATGTCCTGCCGCGGACGTATCCAATTCAGACTCAGCACCCAAACCATCAATCCATTAGACCCACGTGGACTTCACCCGTGGACCTATGTATAATGTATGCGCTTCATGCTAGCAGGCTAAAAGCATCCCATTCTGTCGCCTTGACCCTTTTAGCGGAAAAAGCAAGTTTCCGTGATAGTTTTGCAAGGTTTCATGTAGTTTGATGTAGAGCTGCGATAGCTAACAACACACGACTTTGAGCTATGTGAGAACGGAGAATTACTAGAATAGAATCGCTGCTTTTCTTGTGGTTTTAGTTATGAATACAAAGTGTGACTGGCAAAAACTTTGGAATAATCTCGCTCCTGTGAAAGTGAGGGTGCACAGAGGTGGAAATGAGACAGTTTGTCAATGCGTTACCTCCGGAGCTGTTTTTCTGGCTGTTGATGAATGAACCGGTCGCAGAGGCAATGCAAAAATAGACTTCACCCAGAAATATACATGATGTCTTTAGCGCAAGTTTAAAGGTGGACCCTGTAAGATTTAATGCTTAAGATATGATTCCACAAACTCAATGTAGCTCAAACACAATGACAAAGGGAAATTATGGTTTTGGATTTCAGCCATCTTGGTATTACTTTAAGACTTGGGCTCTATACTCAAACTCATGATAATCCCGCAGGTCTCTCCCATAGACCAGTCTCTCCAGAGGATACGATGTAAGCTAGCTCTGTTCAGGGCTTGGTTTCTTCTTTGATCATGTTGTGGCTTTAGTTCCTCTTCTCTTCCTCACTGTTGTGTGGTTTGGGCTGTTTTGCTGTGTCTGCAGTTACAGCCAGAGGAGTTATAGCCACTTATGCTAACATGCTACTGTGTTTAGCAGCGCTGTAGAAGCTAGAGGACGCAGCCTGTTCTGTGATTGGAGGAGAGCGGGCGTCACGCTAAGTCTCTACTCAACACTTTTTACTGAGTTCATACACAGCTGAATCAATGAGCTCAAGTTTTACATTAAATTACAGATTATAATACA